AATCGACAGCTGGTTTCTTCTGCATATCTCAGCAACCTTGAAGGTTAGATGTTTTAACTGTATTATTTCCTTCTTTTCGAACAGATGATACGTTACCTTTGACTGAAATGCGAACATTTTTCCATACAAAAGTTTATGCAAGTACAATGACCAGATTTAATGAATACGCTTTATTAAAGTAATATGCTATGGTATCATGTTTATCATGACACGAAAATTGAGAAAAAAGAAACGAAAATGATTGCCTACGGTTGTGATTGATCACCCTTCGCTTGCACCTCGTGAAATGTTCATATATGATCAAGCGTCTCAAATAGCTTCTGCAGAGGAAGCCCTACTAACTGCCCTTTAGTGGCGCAGGATTTTCCACCAAAGGGAGAGGTCGGAAAAGAAACTAACACCCGGGTTAGTGTACAACTGACTGAAAACCCTGATTCCAAACCAACCATACACATCTTCCTGGTTCTGGTGATCATTACCGGCTCGATTGGGTATCTTGGACGTTTGACAACGCTCAAAGGGTGTATGATTCGATGAACTGCACACCAGCCCACAACTGATTGCGTTTCTCGCGCACCACAACGCTGCCTTATGAGCCAGGTTTTGGCTAGCTAAAAGAGCCCAGCATATAGAGCACCAAGAAAACCGCAACTTCATGAGATAGAGCAGCACGTTTGTTCACAGGATTCATGGAGTGTAAATACACCAATAAATTCAAGCAGTTTTCTAAGCATTCATAGCTGATATGCTTTCTGTACCCACGGCACGAGATCCTCGAAATTTGAAGACAGGTTTGGATAATATGATAAATCGAACTGAAGATCGTTCGATCTTTGTGTTACATGCATCCACATTAACAACCAGGCACATCTTGATGTGCTACACTATGCTTGGATCGCACATTCACAGTTAGCGGTTCTTGTATTGGTCATAAATGAGAATTAGTCGTTATCCACGTGACTGGACGAATTCAGACATGTTAGGAACATAATACGATGCGGATATCACAAATTAGAATGAAGTCATGTGAATGTCCCACTGCGATTCGAGTGACCTCTAAAAACACCGCGCAGACAGAACAAACAATGCTAAACCGAACTCTGCGGAATTAAAGTGGACGGGTCAAGTTTATGCACACACACACACAC